AGGATGTCTCCCTGGGTTTTTGTGATGTTTTTTTTTATCTATATAAGGCTAAATGTTGTTCAGTTTCACCATTCAGATTAAACCATAAAAACTCAAACTCATGTAAAAGAAAAAATGGATTTTGGATTTGATGTTCCTTTGATTAAATGAAACTGATTAGTCATAGCAAGTGAATTTAGGTGAGTTTTAAATCTAAGTAGTTAAAAATGTGGACAAATTCTTGGTTCCCCTCATCTAATGAAAGAAAAAAACAACAATGGTCACAGAAATAACTTGAAACTTAGAAAAAAAATCCATGAAAGTGAACAAATGGACATTGTTTTCAACCATGCTTCAATATAATGTTCAATATAACGAATGAAACAAGCTTGGGCAAAAATGATGATGATACCCTTAGAAAAGACTGAAAATAATGTGACCAAAGGGATGTGTTAATCAGGGCGTGTCCACCATTGAGCACCACAGGTGTCTACCGTCTAATCAGTAAGTGGGCTATTTAGAGCTACAGGTGGTCAGCTGTTTGGTGACATGGAGTGTATCACACTCAACATGGACCAGAGGAAGGGAAGGAACGAGTTGTCTTAAAGGAATATAAAGGAAATTATAAACAAGCATGTTGAAGGTCCAATATTATGCTACCTTTGAAAATGATATTAACAATCAGGCCCCAAGAGGACAGACCAAGACCAATGGCTGCACTTGTTTTAGCTGAAATAGCCTCTATTTCTTTATTGAAAATGTGCCTTTGTCAATGGAAAAGGTGTTTGCTCATTTGGTAAGAGTTTCATTTATCAGTTAACTCCATAAGTTGTGAAGCAGATCAAGAATGTGTTACTTCACATCGCTACCGCTGCTGTGATTGGCTAAAAGCTTGACACTGGAGGCAGGTGCCACTGGGTGACTGACAACAGTAAAGTTTTAAAGAATTACAGTCTCTCCCTTTTGCCAGCACTTTCAACAGGAGCCTTTTCTAGATGAAACTGTGCAGATTTCAACTTGTCTCTTGGTCCACTTTGCTAGACTTTGATTTTGTTTCTGTTTTACTTTTTGCCTTGTGGTAGTTTATGTTATTCTATGTTTGCCGTTAAGAATGATCTTGTTTGGAATAACTTCTAAGTTTTACTACTTTTCCCTGTCCTTGTTATTTTCCTTTGATTATCCTGTCATTTATTTTATCATCTGGTTTCATTACCTTTTTTTTTGCTGTTTTCTTAGTGCTTCCTAGTTAAGCATCAGTCAAAGTCAATTCTTTCTTTGTTGCTCTCATTGCCCCTGATTGCCACTCTCCCTTTCTCCTTTGTTACCTTCTGGTCCCTCCTCCGCACACCTTCTCCCAGTTAGCCCATTACTCCAGTCACTGTTTCAGACTTCTCCTCCCCAGAATTTAAGCCCCTCTCATTCTTCCACCATGATGCTACTATGATGAGAAAAAGCAGAGAGAGCATAATGTTAGAGGTTGAACTAACAAACACTGCAGAATGGGTGAATAGAGATAGAAAGAAGCAAAAAGAGGAAAAGTGGTCCCTATGTCCTCCAACAGCCTAATCATATAGCAGCATAAATATAGAAAATAGAGCAGGATAAACTTTTATGGTTTATCCAAGTAAAAATGTCTGTCTGGACTGTATTCTCCGCTGCTGATCAGTTGATTCCCTCTAACTCCTCATACTTCTCTACTCACCCAGCAACTAAGCAATAATTGCAAACACAACTTTTTATAAAGCAGAGAAAGCTGACAGTGAGTTCACTCATAGGACTACAATTAGTAAAGTTGGCAGAATTAAATCGGGATTCCAGAATCTGGAATGCCTTGGCATGCAACATGAGCTTTCAGCTTTAGAATAACTGTTCTTGACTCTGTATCAGGCAGGTAGTTTACCTTTAGAGAAATTGGAGTCATATTCATTAATCAATATGTGAACAAGTTCCAATCTTGGTCTATGGTTTTGTAATGATCTTGAGGCTGTAGTGTCTGTTTTTATTTTTGTTATCCACAGATTGACAAATGTCAAATTTGGCGAAATGTGTCTTGCTGAGTGATTTCCTTCTGAAGTGAATCTTGAATCAGTAGTTCTGTAGTAATCTGCAGTCTGTTTTGGGTGCTTGGTTCAACTTCTATAGAAAAGAAATGTGTTATTCCAAGAGGTAGATTCTTTTTTATCTTTAGGTCACCCATATTGTACAGTTTTCATAGACGTCTATAATCTAGTGTCTGATTCTGTTGGTGCACAGATTTTTTTCATCCTTTCAGCTAAGATTGACACCTAATCAACCATGTTGTCTCTAAATCAGTCTGAATTTTGCTTGCATTGTGTTGGTAAGTGAGCAAGCAGCAAGCCACATTCAGGAACACGTTTGATGCTTAAATCATGTTTTTTTTTTTTGTCTCGGTAGCATGCACTGTAATATCCATGGAGTATTTATCAATGGTTTTGTGATGACAGTCTCCTAAAACTCATGGTCTGCCTGTACTCTTACTAGATGGTTGTAGGTGTATTGGTGGAACTGTTCGATACTTAAAACATGATTCTCTTTTAATTTGTGCAGAGTCTCTTTCTGTCATTGTCATGCAGTGTTGCATATGCTTCTGGTTTGCCTCCTTGTGTTAGAGCAGCTCTTGGTCCTATTTCACTAGCATTGCACTTTAATCTCAGCTCTTGGTCTGGGCTAAAGTATTCAACTACTAGTTCTGGAAATATCTGGTTTTTACTCGTCTTACATAGATCTTTCAGAACATCTCTCCATTCCCAGAGAAACACTTGATGTAAGAGCCGTTGTAATATTTCACAATCATCTACAGCTGCTAATAAAATGTGAACAGATAGTTGACTAGCCCTTACCAGCCTTGTGCAGGTGCACAAAGATTGTGCTTGTAGTAATAACAGGTGCAATCTGCAGTGAACGGCACTCATTACATTTTTATTTCTTTTGATTTCCCCACAGTTTTGAAAAGCGGAGGACTATTTGTAAAGCAGCTGCAGTTTGTAACAGAACTGCACACAGATGGCAGGCATGATCACAAAGTGGACACGATTTAGAAAAGAAAATACTTTCTTTTCCAATGAAACAAAATAAATCAGGCTTCTGATCATCTCTGGATCATTTCAACTGAGGAAACCAAACAGGTCAATGGTTTCTGTTTTCTTTTTCACTAAAGGCTCTCACCTGCATGTTTACTGTGAGCCTTGTGGTGTCTTCAACATTTCAGCCTTCATTGTTGTTTGTAGATTTTAGATAGATATATTTTTACATATTTCACAGTAACTGCTTCCATTGTCCATGGACTCCACAGCAGTTTACCTCCTAAGGCAGAGATCACAGATTAGCAGACCAGGGTCTGGATCCAGACTCACCTGCTGGCTAATCCAGACCCAACCTGATTTAAAACATTTATAAATTATTGCATTTTGTTCAACGACAGTGTCTAACTTCACTTGCTCCGCTACTCATGTTAATACGGTAAAGCCCTCCGAATGAATGTAATGAATACTCATTACTGACGAGAAATACCTCCAAGCCGAGCTGTGTAGTGAGATGATGTGTATGTGGTTCTAAGAGCTTTGTCT